AAAGAATATGAAAAACTTCAGAACTAGACCGAAGAAGAAGAAACAAAAAACGAAATTGATATAAAAATGGCAAAATTGAAAATCTCATTTCTAATGAATAACAAGCTCCTATAAATAATAACCTATAATAATTTCATATTGATCACATATTTACATGTTGGTGACTACTGGCAATATATGTGAAAGGGGACAAAGAAAACTTATCAGTGAAAAGCCATTTTGAAGTTTGAACAACATGCCATGGTAACTAAGCTCCTAACCCTCACTATTGTCACTCTAATAAAAGATCCCCCTTGCCAAAAAATATGGTGGTATCGACCAACACGTCCTATTCAAAAGCCACAAGATCAATACAAGCGCACACACTTTTCTATAACATTTTTACTTTTCAGTGCAATACATCAATACACTTTATTACAGAAAAAAATGTGAAGGAATTGCACATAATCCAACGAGAATGTTCTATGAGTTGACATGAGTTGCCATATCACCCAATGTTTATCTAACAAATATATAAAAATGGGGGAAAAGAGATAAGAAAAACCGTCATTAAGTAGATTGGGGACTAATTGAAACTACGCAAAAGGAGAGTTTGCTGGTTTTGTTACTAAGTGATTACACAAGAAGGGACCAACACATCGTGTCTCCTCGAACTCTATTGTTAGCTCATTCATTGTTTACTCCCCCACAAAACCTCTCTTTTTTTGCGTCTAGCAAGAATAAGAAAATCAATATTTCCATTGCTATGGCAACTCCTTAAGACTTTGGAACGACAATGCCTACAAGGCACTGTCAGACACACAGAAAGGATGAAATGAATAGAAAAACATTGGCTGGCCCACCGCTCAACAATGCCCCTCGAGGTCAGAAAAAGCCAATACACAGTGAAAGCATTTCTCTACCCCCTTTTTCAGTAATGATTAATTCCCTGCATTGAGTTTAATCATTGGTGGGCTCAAGTCTTGTTATGTAACACCATTTGCACATTTTAACTGCTAATTGCAATTATGATGCAAACCCTAGAAAACACCATGAGTGGTTGGTTTCTCCTGTTGCAAAAAATCACATTAGATCGTACAGGTAATTAGTGCAGGACTGAAAAGGGGCGGGTTGTAAAGCATTATGAACTATTCTCTTAGTCTACTTTAATTAATTGTGTGAATTTATCATGCTTCCTGTACTAGTTAGACAACACCTTGCTTGCAATGACTGGATAGACATACACATGTGCAAATAAGTTATACCATACTTTTCATATTCAAAGTCTATTACTTCACTTTAAATATTTTCTATAACAAAAAATAGATAGAAACCAATTATTTTTTTAAGAATGACTATTTGATTTAGAACAAATGAGTTTGCTTCATAAAGATGTTCTGCACTGATCTGGCAAATGAAAAACTTCCCAAAACTACAAATTTGGTTACTAAAAATAGAGACAGAAGCATAACATGGTGTAATGTTTTGTCATTAATACATGTAGTAAAAGGAAAAGTGCATTTCAAAAATATATGAATTGTATTCTTGCTCAATAGGGCAAGTACAAATGTTGTATATTATCTTGTTTATCAGAAGACTGAATGCAATGTACCACACATAAGGGCAAGTGGAGTTTTAGCATAGTTTGCCTAAAATGCAGGCAATTTTGTTTCAGTCTTGTATAGTGATAGCAGGATTATAAGAGAACAAGTGCTGAAAACAAAAAGAAAACACCTCCATGTGTACATGCAGTAGGTACTTTAAGTTAATAAGGTGCATTGCTGATGTAACAAAAAGGGGACTTAGATTCATGGGGGGGGGGGGGAGTTGCTGATCAGCATTACACAATGATTTACCTCACTAAATACAGATTAACAGTAATAGCTTGCAACACGAATTACACTTCCTTTTCAAATGGCAGTTCAGAAGTGGTACTGCAGCTAATCTGTCTTAATACAGTCACAGGTGTAGTCAATACATGATCTTACATACCATGTAAGCTTTAAAGAAAGGGCCATTTTAACTGAAGGACTCACATTATACCTAAAAGGTATGTGCTGTTAACTTGTCATACTGTATCTCCAAAAAGTCCACACCACATTAACACAGATGAAAATGTTAAAGTGTTCTATTTATGGGTCATGTGTCACTGAGATACATTTAAAACCTTTGAACACCAAAAGATAATGTAGTTTGTTTTCATGAAAAATTAAATTAAATTATATTAAATTGTTTTGATTTATTGAGTTTCCAATAGAGAGTGACCTTTAAACAATGATTTCCGTTTCCAGAACACATTAGAAATAAGTGTTAATCATTAACAAAAATTGTGCGATTTTACAAGTCTGTGTACATAGTAGTATACTATAATCGACAAAATTCATCAAATAAATGCCCACATAAATTGAAGGAAAGTACATTGTCTGCCACCACATTGAAGTTTAATTTCTAATAATCTAAAAAATTAGCCTGTAAATGTACTCTTACTCTTACATCAGCATATTACCGGAAGGAGATGGGGGTACTAATACGGGAAATATTGTATTCAATATGCAAACAAATACTTGTCCATTATTTCCTTATAAATTATTAAACCCTCAAGACATTCAATACTTACGAAATGCTCCAATTATTTGGAAGTATAATATTTGAATAAGATTTAGAATTTTAGGACAGGGTAATATAGACTTCGGTGACATTTACCAAACTAAATTAAAATGTAATAAAGTCATCTCATGGCTATAATACATTCTGGTAACAAGCGTGAAGTTCGTATCTAAAGTGGTTCTCAAGTTATTAAGGCAATGAGACTAAATGTATGCAGGCAGATAGAACTCTCTCAATCTCACTCCATGAAAACAAAATCTCAAATTCAATCTCCCTACATGTATTTAGTATTTATTTACTGTCACCTATTTCATAATTCAGACAAGGTCAAGGACCTCAAGTACATGTAATTCTAGACTTGATAAGTTTATATTTCGTGAAAAGTATGAGAAGCAGATTCATTTGCCCCTGACCTCACACTTCCTATAGCCTCCCCCTCCCCCAACCCCTCCATACCTGAATTGTTAACAAAGTCCCAGGCAGTTGTAAATATTCAGTCTTGGCAAAGCTGCCAGCCCCAACTGAACAAAAATCCTATTTTTGATCAATAAGTAATTTTTGTTTTTGACTGTGTTCGTTGACATTTTGAAGAATCATGCATCAGTACATTATACAAACATTTTGTTGAATATGCAAGAGTTTGTCATGAATGATTGTTCAATAAACCAATGAGTGGCATGAGAATGTATCTTTATGGACCATTGGCTGAATATGCATGATTTTGTGATGACTGGTGTGTTTGATGAATCAATGAACATTCCCAAATTGCCCTCATTCATAGTTTTTTTCATAGATAGTTTTTATCTCAATTTTCTGCATTACTGAATATTTCTTGCCATCTCCCCTCATCTGTAATGATAAGGTACCCTTTGTCTGTCTCTTCCTCTCTTCAACTCTCTCTCTCTTTCTCTCCCTCTCTATCTCTTTCCGTCTTTCTCTCCCGTCCCCCTTCTCTTTCTTTCTCTCCTTCTCTCTCTTTGTCATCACTTCAACTCTCCCCCTCCTACACCTCTCCCTATCTCTTTCTTTTTTTAACAAAAATTTGAATCTGATCAATGAATTTTTATGAAATGTCTATATGTTTGATTATTGATTTATGTCATATTTTGTGTTATTTCAATTTGAATTGCAATTGTATTGTATATAACCTTGTGAAATGGATCGCAATTCAGCCATTGGCTGCGATGATCTTTTTAATAAAAACCATTTCTATCTATCTAAAAACCATTTCTATCATTCACTGATAACAAAAATGTTCTTTTTGCATAATTTATCAATTTAATAGATGCCACTCACTGTTTCATGAGTACTATTAACATGTACAAGGTCATCTCTAGAATAAACAGTAGATAACTTAACTCCATGTACCATATGATGGATTCCTATAATACATGTAAATTAGTGCACCCATTCAAACTAAAGTGAGAACTTCAAGGAGCAAGTTTGCTAGCCACAATGGTGGAAAAAAGAAGAAGTAAAAAACAAACAAAAACAAATCGAGAAAATTCCACTTGAATGTTGAGATAGAAAAGAATAATGAATACATAAAATGACAATTTCATCTAAGATGAGGGATTTTAGATCTAGAAATCATGAGGGGAAAAAAATGTGACGAGTTGTCCGAAAAGGCACCCCACCCTGGACAAGCTCGACCATGGCGAGTTGTCCAGGGTATTGTGGCGAGATGTATTGTGGCGGGTTGTCTTGGGTCGGGTTGTCTTGGGTCGGGTTGTCTTTGTGGCGAGTTGTCTGGAATTCAATTGAACATGTGTATCCCCAACCGATCACTATTCCACGAAATGGCAATACTTGTCTTTCTTTCATCTGTGTCTTTACGCATAACATTTCACAATCGGTGCATGCCATAAATTAACATTTCATACTAATTATAACAACACCGACATCCAGGGCAGCGCTGGGCTGCATCACCCCCGATAGAGATGGCGCTCACTGCACGGTCCACTGACTCTGCATTGCAGCCACACAACAAGCGAGAGCATACACACATATCACACGAGAAAATACACTGTCAACAGAAGCTTAAACGACATTTACTGAGTAGATATAGCAAGGAAATAAACATTAGGTTCTATTAATACTACTATTACGTTAATTTCAATATTGTTCTATGAAATGTAGGATTCTTAATGGTTTATACGTACCGGTTCGGCGGAACTGCCTTGCCTTGCTTCAATTTTCAATAATTAATTGCGAAATCGCGATCAATTCGATCAATATCGAACGAGCCTATTCTGATCATGTTTATATATTCTAAATAATATTTAATTATATTTTTGTTCGTCTTTAATTTTAAAAAAATAAACCCTTTTTCCACGTAAATATATTTTTTACATATTTTACCATAATAAAATTATAAAATATATAAACTTTATTAAACATTTATTTGTCCTCGTTCAACCAAGCTGTATGAGTTTCCTAAGCAACGCTTCTGCCGCTGTAAGATCCCCATAAAAATCGCGATTTTTAGGACGAATTTGATACTTCAAAATGTCAGATTACGACGATCAAGAGTATGATGAGGATCAGGAAGGAGTTGATGAGCCTGAAATTGGTCAAGAAGAAGAAGGGGAAGAAGAGGAAGGAAATGAACAAGAGCAAGAAGAAGAAGAGGTAACAATGGTGTGCGGGTGCTGCAGCGATTGCTAGACTAGTTTACACGGAGAAGTCTGGGGTGGCGATGCCTTCAATGAAGGCCCTTGTCAGTTCAGCAGCGCCACCTCATAGTTTTTGATGTTTATCAATATAATACCAGATTCTGTTGTTGTAACCGACTTTGATAAGGGTCTTATTCTAAATAGTAGTTCTGTGACTTGTGTTTATTATTTAGGTTTCTTTGATTATGGACTTTAGAAGTTAGTCTGGTTCAATTGATCATGACATGACATGGCCTACAATAAAAACAATTAAAAATGATATTGAATCATTGATCGACTCATTTTGTCATTTTGAGACACAATGTCATAGCTTTATGGGCCTTGGTAGTTTAGTTTGTGATTCATGAGATCAATATAACTATCACCAAGCCTTAGATCTACTTGGCATGCAACTGCCTGTGTGGAGAGCGAGCCATAAACAAAAGCACAAATGTTAATTGTTAATGAATAATGTTATGTAATGGTCTGAGAATGAGGATCGTCCGCATAAACGAGGTTATCCTTGTAAACTGCGGGCTGGCGATGTGAAAAGCGGATTGGGCGTAAGAAAATAACCCCATCTTCCTGAGGATTTATCGCTCATAAAGTCGATGCAAAGTGCATCTAGAAAATCATTGCGGAATCCGTTTTTTCCCAGCGCCAACGCGTGGATCGGAATATGAAACGTCCATGAAAATGCGGACAATCCTCATTTTTACGGACGCATCTGTCTGCGTTTACAAAGAAGATCCTTGTTTATGGGGACGATCCTTATTCTCGGACCAGCGCCCCTACTGATCACACACAGCAAACCTTGCAAACTACCTCCAGCATTCACTGAAGGCACACAATTTGAAATCGATGAACAAAATGACAAAAAAAGGCAATTCTTATATTTTTAGTTTATAATTAATTTTAGTAAGGACATCATGTAATCAACCTGCCTAAAACACCTATATAAACATTGCGTCTATTTATGTGTAACATAACCATCATGAAGTCCACATATTTCTGAATTTAGAATTTTTCTTCTTTCCACAGAAAATTCCAGAGGTTCCATTGACCGAGGATGTGATAGCTGAGAACCTGTCTTTACTCTGCAAAACTGGAAATGGCTTAGCGCATGCTTATGTCAGATTAGACATCAAAGAGAGGTATGATATTGTCTCTTCTAATAATGAACACAAACCTTAAATCTTCGATGTATAAAATAAAATCATGTTAATGCTTATATGAAATGATTTCAAATATTTGCGAGACTTGCACTTCATTTCCATCTGAAAATGTCATAAACAAACGCACCACAGGTGCAGAAGACCATCTCAATATGTCTTTGAGCTATGAACAAGAACAGCTTTTTATATTTTTGTACAAACAGTGCTTAAGATTTCAGTTTCAGAATGCTTCTTGGACATCATGATTTTTTAATTGTAGGGGAACTGAAGAATTCAATTAATTTACATCAGCAAATGAATTGTATCTGCCATGTAAGACAGGTCAAGTGTTTTGTTTTATAAAAAATGCTGTTATTATTAAACTACAATAATTATGAAAAAAAATTAGAAAAAAATTATTAAATGACTTTAGTATTTATGACTAACATTTTGAAACTCTTTTTTAAAATCATTGTAACAGGGAAATTACAGACATCAGCGTCTTGAGCCAATACATCCACTTGAGGTACATTGACCTCACCACGAATGCTCTCCGTGACATTTCACCTCTCAGCTCGCTGACCCATCTCTTGACCTTGAACTGTGACCGCAATCTCTTGGCTTCGGCCAAGCTGGATGAACTACCGTACCTTCAGGTAAGTGAAAAAGATGGATACACAGGAACCGGTGAGTGATCTAGCCCTGGAAAGCTCTAAAAGTTCTGGAAACAGACAAAAAGAAAAGATAAAAACAAACATCTTAAAATTGTTCACTTAGTAAATTCAGAAGAGCTCCGATGAACAAACTGTATATTTTAATTTAAACCGCTCAGGATTTTTAAAATTTTATTTGTTAATTCAACCATAGATTTCAGCAGAGGAAAAAAAAACAAGCACAACAAAGAAGAAAAAGAAAACATAACGGTGGTAAAAGATTAAAGAAACTTATACAAAATTAACCCTGTTCACATAGCAAATCCAAACAGAGCTCCTATGAACAAACAGTATTACTATGTACATGTAGTTACACTGCTTCAGGCATTTTATTTAACCTTAGTACATACAGGGAAAAAAGACAAAACAACCCCTCACCCCAAAAAATTCAAACTGTTATATTACAAACAAACATATAAAAACTTCCATATTCTCTTAGTAAAACCAAAAGTGTCCATGATGAAAAAATGCATTTTTTGTTGTTTGGTACAGTTCTCCAGGTATTTATGTGACAGTAGTTGGCAGCAAACGGAAAATACAATAGAGATGAGAACAGTATGACTCAAATGCTGCCAAGGAACTCTGGAATGAAACATTTTATGATTCAAAGGGAATAGAGCTGTATTATGATTTTTCCCAAGAAACATTCAACTGAACTAAACAATTTTAAAGATAAACCTAAAGGCCTCATTTAAAACATAGTAACCCATTAAATCTTATTTGTTTCTTTTCAAATGGATATATGCAATATTTATTTTCTCTCAATCTTTCTCCCTCTCTCTTTCTCTCTCCCTCTCTCTTTCTCTCTCTTTAGGTGGCAAGTTTTGCTTACAACAGGATACAAACGACAGAAGGCATCAACCACCCATTAATTGAATCTCTTAATCTCTCTTGTAAGTATTGAAGGCAGGTTACTCTATATTATTGCAATATGGATGAATGGGTTAAGACCCGGCATCATTCTAAAGCAAGATGACCCCAAAATTAAAAACAGCAAAATCAATGAGAATTATCAACAAACAAATTTAAAAAGCAAACAACTATCCCCCCCCCCCCCCACCACAGGAAATAGAATTAATTTTAAAAGGATCATGCTAAATTTAGACTAAATTTTTCTGTGTAACTATATTTTGATAGACCATTAATGCCATTTATATTTAGATCTGAAATTTCATTTGATATCATACTATTCTTTCCTAGCCGTAATTGTATTGCCCTTGTCTGCGACTCGGGTACTATGGCTATGCTCGGGTGATACCAATCTGTTAAAGACAAAGTGCATTGCTATATATCTTACCATTGATTTGTTTTTTCGTATTGAAAAGAGAGAGAGAGAGAGAGAGAGAGAGAGAACAATGAGTAGTTTGCGTCAAGAAAGGTTTGAAATAGCTCTAGTAATCTATACCAAAAAAAATATGAGCTCATGTGCAAGACTTGTAACAAGAATATATAACAATTGCTGTAGGGTATTTCATTTCTTGGCCCCGTTTCATAAAACTTACCATTGATGGTAGTTTTGCCATCAATGACAACTACCATGGTAACAGGGCTCAACAGCCAATCCAAATCAAGGTTTCCATGGTAGTCACCATTGATGGTAACTTATCATCAAAAAATCCAACAGACAGAGAAATAATTTTCACTGCTTTCTTCCTCAACAGTCAATGAAATCAGTTTGGTGAGTGGCCTTGAACCATCCAAACTAAGCAAGCTACACACATTGGAATTAAGAGGAAACAAGTTGACCTCCACAGCAGGAATTTATCTGCCCAACCTCAAAAACCTCTTTCTGGTAAGTATTATTTTTGGAAAATATTATCGACAAAAATATATGTTAGTATTCAATAACCGGTATATTACCGGTATATGATTTGATTCATATTTCTTTAAAAGTGTGTTAATCTCTATTTACATGTTGTCACTTGCATCAGAATTGGTACGTTTGCAGAAATACTATTTAGCTTCATATCCAATGTAAAGAAATGAATGATAAAGTTAAGAAGCTCTGAGTAGATTGTAGCAGTTATGAAAGACTAAAAGTGAACATAACCTAAATTTTGACCCCTTTTACCGACATTCCCCCCTTTGTGCACTTTTGGTTTATTATAAAAGATAACCTTCTTTTATTTGATCTTTATCTCATCAATTCTAAAGGTTATCAACATCTATCTTCAATTTGTCATGCCTTTAAATGTTGACTCATCTTTTCAATGGAAGCGAAAATGAGATAGATACAGATATTTCTTGTTGGACACAATCAAAATATATCCTTAGCGAAACCAATTTCAAAGTTATTCAACTCCTTAAGATGCATGGCCCTTTGTGTTTTCAGTATCTGTGATATGGTGTAATATTGAAGCCATAAAATATTGCGCCTCAAAACGATCAAGAAGTGCTCAAAAAATTAAAAATCTTTGAGTGACCGGTTTTATCATACTCGTTTCCTCCAATAGACTGTAGTGTTATGAAAACGCAAAATTTGGTTTCGATTTCCAATCATAAATATCTTGATAATCAGATTTTGTTTCAGAATCTGAGATAAAGTTACCGGATCCCTTTAATACCAGAGACATGTGCATGAACATTATTTGATTGCATTTGTTTCATAAAAATCTCCATTGTCTGATTCATCTGCTATTGATAGAGCACTCACTAATCATTACCATGGTAACATCAAATGTTGCTATCTTTATTAACAACAATAATGACGTTTGATCTAGTCATATGTATGTTACATTCCTAGTGAAATGTCAAAATCGTGCTCTTTCCTGTAACTCTCAAATCACCATTGTATTGAGCAAGCCGCCCACTCAGTTGCTAATCATGGAAATCATCTATTTCTGTCCACTTTCTGTATTCATTTCCATGGTTATTATCACAAATGTAATTTATCACAAAGGTTGTTGAACCAATTAGTGAACAGTTTTTGTCCCGATTTCCGTCTAGGAAATTAGCCCTGTCAATATTTTGCATCAGAAAACATGATGTAATAATCTAGATGTGTATTCATACTTAGGAGCACTTTTAATGCAATTTCTCTTGGTATTAAAGAGACAATCATTTAATTGTGTAGTTTGCAATGAAGAGTCACATAAGAGTAGACTTCCAGCAGACAATGTTGAATAACTAATTTCATGCTCACCACATTCCCTCCGCCTCCCCCCCCCCCCCCAAAAAAAAAAAAATCAACAAAATCAACAAAAAAAATCAACAAAATCAACAAAAAAATCAACAAAAATCAACAAAAAAACAAAAAACAAAAAAACAAATCAAAGAATAAATATATCTTCATTTGTATAGATTTTTGAAATACTTATGTTGCCTTTAATTTCTAAAAATTAATATTTTTTTATGATTTTTGTGTAATATTAAATCAGTCATGTAGAAGATGATTGGGGAATTTATGTAGGGGTTGTTAACTTCCAGTACCAATAGAAACTTTACAGGTAAAATTAGGTCAGGGAACTAATGACTAGCATGTTCGCTAATATTGCTGTCATATTTGAGTATGATAAAAACTTAGTCTTTTAGATCAAATGGGGATAGGGCACAGTGGACGCAAATTGAGTATATTTCATATTTGTTTGCATAATTAAAGCACAGCCGATTAGATGTAGTATGAAAAATAATGTAATGTTCAGAATCTAGTTAGTTTTGGGGTGATAATATTATCTTTGTCTTTTGTCCACTTACATTCATGTATATATTACATGGGAACAATGGCCTGAGAACTACAGCTTTGGTGTATTGAAAGGACATCTACGTTAATAGCTCAAGACTTCTTAGTGTAAAATCAGGGTATAAAGAAAACATAACCACAAGTACAAGTATAGTGCCAAAAGTAGATATGCTTGCTTATTTTGGCACGATGAAAATACAGTCACAGTCTGTCATGTAAAACATAACCACCAACACACCCTGTACATTGTATAGTGCCAAAAGTAGATATGCTTGCTTATTTTGGCACAATGAAAACACAGTCACAGTCTGTCATGTAAAACATAACCACCAACCCACCCTGTACATTGTATAGTGCCAAAAGTAGATATGCTTGCTTATTTTGGCACAATGAAAACACAGTCACATTCATGTATAACGTCTTTCCTTAGGGCGCTAACATGATCACTAAACTGGAGGGGCTGGAGCGACTGGAGCACCTCACGACGCTCCATCTCCGTGACAACCAGATCTCAAACCTGGACGGTTTCTCAGAGAACATGAGGAACCTACAATACATCAACATGAGGGGGAACATGGTGAGCGATGTGAAGGAGACGGCCAAGATGAAGTGTCTGCCCAAACTCCGGGCCCTGATCCTCTCCGGTAAGTAAAGAAATATTTTGAGGGGTCAGTGACACAAAGACGTAACTCCATTTTGGCCATTTAGTGTCACTGAGTACTTGGACCTTAAGGAGTTAAGTCTTTGTTTCACTAGCCATTGACTTCAATGGGGTGTTGGGTGGAGTTCAGTCTTTGTGTTTCCTAGAAGCCCACAATTTTCTGAACATTTTGATATCAAATACTCATTTTGGCAAAATATGGAGTTACGTCTTTGTGTCACTGAACCCTTGATTTCTTCGTCTTCACATAGGGGAGTAGACTATCACATTGAGATATGAAATGTGTACCTAAATAGGATCCTGTTTGGTAGAAAATATTTCTTGAATGGCTGAAGAAAATTTATTCCTGTTTTCAATAGTCTACATGTCCCATGTCGGTAATTACTTAAACAATTCTTATGCTCAGCTTGGCTGATAATGTGATGTGATCGCTGTTTTTTAAAAAAAGTAATAACCTCTAGTTTGAGTAACTTTTATGTATAAAAAGAGAAATTAAAAAAAGAGGATGAACAAATAGCAGATGAAGGTGAAAACAAAGAAGAAAAGAAGAAGGAAAAGAAAGAAACTGAATTGAATACATAAAGGATTAGGGTAAATAAGGGAATATTAGGGTATTTGAAGAACAATAAAGGGAAAGAAAAAAGGGGAGGAAGAATTGGAGAAAGAAAGTAAATAAAAAGAAGAATGATTCATTTTCCAAATGTACTCTAGTTTTGTATTCAATGATTTTCTTTGTTTTTGCTGAATAAATAATGATAATAATAATAATAATAAGTTTAAAAGTGTGAATGAGCTTTCAAAATACAGATTGACAATAACCACCTTTCCCCACCCCTTTCACACTGCAGAGAACCCCTGTTCAGACGATGATGAATACCGGATGGAGGTTCTGATCGGTATCAGGAGAATAGAACGTCTTGACAAGGATGACTACAACGAGGAAGAGAGGCAGGAGGCAGAAGAGATCTACGAGACGAGGAGAGCGGAAGAGCTGGCTGCCGGAGAGGTATGTTAAAAAAAAAGCTTCTATCGAGTTGACCACTTTCATAATGTACTCTCAAACCCCCAAAAATTGTGAATTGCTTGGCATTTACATTTATTCAATTTGTTTAAATTGTTTAATTTGTCAAAAATCATTAAAATTTACGTCAAATACAATTGCAAATACATTTCATGTACAGTAACATGATAGATGAGGGAGAAAAAAGGAGAAACTAAAAAAAGCAAAAGCTTGTGTTTGCGGGTTGAAAAGTTCGTCAGTACATTATCATTTAATCAAGCTGTGTACATAAATGAAAAGTAAGAAAAATATTTTAAGGTTACACTTACATTCATGAGACCTTTGCGAATTGCAATAATTTAGTGTTGTGTCAATTGTAATTGAATTATTTCACGGTTTGACATTTTATGAATCTGAACCTATTGCAAAATTTTTGAAAGTTTCTGGTTTTACGGAAATGAATTTTTTAAGCATTTGTCTTCCTTTTTGAAAGTTGCTTTGATGAAGTTGGCATCAAGATGGCTGAAATAAAAATATGAAAAGGGAGAGAAGCAGATCAACAAAGATTTGATAAAGGATAACAAATTACTCAGACACTGAGATACTTAGATCTTTACGAGTAGAGAGAAAGAGCGAGAGAGAGAAATAGAGAGAGAGAGAAAGAGAGAGAATGAAAAAAAAGGGGGGGGGGGGGGGACATGAAGTAAAATACTTTTTAAAGATAGTCTTGTGGAGGTTAAACAAAGAAAGAAATTGCTTCTAGTGCTTTTGTCAAGTGTGTTATTTCAATGCAAAGTATGTGAAGCCGCCATTTTAAAATGTAATCATCGTTTATTATTTTTGTTCATTATGTGCAAAGGATTCCACGGAAGAGTGACATTTTGTAAAATGCAGCTGAAATGGGCAAAGCATAGTTAATGTAATTTTGATGTACATGATGTGTACATTTTTATTTCTTGCTTATTTAAGCATTTTTGTGAAAGGAAAGTGGTTAATTAACTTTGTTTTAGTGAAGTTGGAAAGGGGATTTTTTTTTTTGTTAAGGTACTATTTAACATTTTTTAAGGTCTTCCGTGGATATATTAACAATTTAACATGGTGGAAGTTTCAAGCAAAATTTTAAAGTGAAGGGGTGAAGAAATAATTAACCTCTTTCTAAAAAAAACTAATCTTTTCTTTAATTTATATTTCAAAATGTTTGTTGAAAGTGCCTGAATCCCTTCAAAATTATATTTTGTAGGAATTATTTTATCTGTGAAAATTTATTTTTTGGTTATCTGACCACTTTTTAAAGTTTGAACTTTGGAGTGGTTTGGAGAGTTTTGAAGAGCTTTGAAAATGTAAAATAGTACCTTTGTGAATAAGACAATTGAAAAATTGAATGAAAATGCATTTTGCATACAACATGAATCACATGGCAATGCTTCAGTAATGATTTCTTAGAATTTTTTGTTGATATCTGAAAGAAACTTCCAAATCAAGGCTACCACTCTACTCTGTAAAGGCCTAAGTTCACAGCACAGCACAGTAGTTATTGAAGTTCAAACAATGGGCGCACACTGCACAGCATAGAGTACCAAAGCTGTGACATCATAAAAATCTATTCTTAGAATTCCTCAACTTTTTCTTCATTTTCTGAAAGAGCATAAACAATAATGTCCAAATGTATGGTTCATAAAGTTATGAGCCAGAGCAATATAACACTGAGCTATAGGAAATCTATTCATTCAGATGGTCATATCTCGGCCAATACTTAACATTTTCAACTGATTTTGGACATTTGAACATTATTTTGTATGCTCTTTCGGAAAATGAAGATAAAATTGAGAAATTCTAAAAATAGATTTTTTGATGACGTCACATCACACTTCACCACTCTATTGCACATACCGTTGGCTCTTTTACTATCATCCTCTTTGTTTCTTATTTCTTTCTGTAATACAGGGAGCAGAAGAAGTCATACAGTCGGACGGAGACGACGCCTGATACTTCATCGCTTTCAAGAAAGAGACGTTAATCCTGATCCACGTGGAAACACACCTGTATCCGTCCTTGCAAAGTTGCTGTACTGCAATCAATCTTCATCGTTAACCCATAAATTACCAATAGCCTATAAGGCCAAATAACAAAAATAGAGCGTTTCTCGTCTGGACTTTTTTTAAAGGAGAAGGCAGTGCATTACTATTTACTTTTTTGCCATTTATTGCAATTTTTCTCAAGATGGCTGCCATGCTAATTATAGCTGGCCAAGCCTATTTATTCACAGATATTGTGCTATGTGAGTATACTGATGCAATGTATGACAAAACAAATGATTTGTATCACTTTAGAAGCTATTTAAACAAAAATGTATATCACATGCTTTTTTTGTGTGTGTGTGGCTTTTTTGGCTTTTTTTCTTCTAAATAGTAAAAAAAAGAGGAGGCGGGTGTGGACGAGAAACGCTTCATTTGTGTTATTTGGCCTAATAAACCTGTAATTAAATTTGAGCATAATACTTTTGTCTCTGGTATTAACAGTATTCATGGGATTGCTCAGAAGGGAGATTAGTGGAATCAAAACATGCTTACATATTGCGCGACCTGGAAACGTTGTTTAATAACATAGCATGTGGGGGTATACTGCAAGCTAGAGCACTGGAATACATGGATCAATATGCATTCCGGCCTTTATTCCATACTTGCATTCCGTAGTATCTCTTAGGGCCTATTTCACATGACAAATGTTTGATTGCATCCTCGAAATGAAAGCTACACAGCCAATCTGGATACAGGTAAAGTGTTAGTGATAAATCTCGTTTTGAAAGAAACATATATGATTGATTGAATGGAGAACATACATTGGATTCATATTGCTTTCCCAAGTGGGTCCAAGAGGGAACATTGTTTGGGAACTTTGAAAGAAAGAGTTACAAAGATTTCATTTTTCTATTTCCTTATAATTCCCTCACAATGTTATATAAGCATTTGTTTTAAAATAGACAGATGATGCTACAATATTCAGACTTTTGTTATTTGTTTGTTTGTAATTGGTTTCAAAGACTTCTTTAAATCACTTTATGCCACTTTAAAAGTACTTACTGCTCTTAAGTGAGCAGAGAAAGATTGGTCAATTTTTATTTATTTTATTCTTTAGAATGTTCTTTTTAAGTTCATGTTGGCATTTATTTTATTTATTCATGAAAAAGAACATTTGCAACATGCATGAATGACTATACAACGTAGGAAGCATTGAGTCTTATCAGTGCAGCAACCAGAATAATAACCATAATAAATCTCCAAATCAAATTAATAGATAGCTATCAATTTTTACTGATTACACATTATTTGTATATAATATATCATATGTACATTAGAAGCTGATATGTTTCGAAATACATGTATGTCTTTTTTCGGTGTAATGTCTATATTTGTACATTTCATTAAAATGCAAAAATATATTTAATGTGTTACTTTGTCATGATCTTGTTAATTTTTATATTTCTATGATTTATTTTGTTTGACCAAGATCTGAACATGGTGCATGAAAATGTTATAGCCATGACTATCTTTACTAAACTGAGGGCAAAGGTTATGGTTGGGTAAAAGAAACATTGTCCAAAACTTAAGGTGTTTAAACAAAAAAAGATTCATCCTTTAAGTATTTTAAAGGTAAAGACCAGTTATGGTCATGCGATTGCATTGTGAAAGAAACGTTGTGGAATCGATCAGAAAAGTTTGATCATCTAGCATCTAGCATCTGCAAGGTTCTGGAATCATCAAAATGATAACAAATTTGGCCCATTCTTCGTAAAGTTACAAGCACTATACACAGAAAGATGTATATGGGACTACCCTATATCTCTCACAGACCATGAGAGAATTTTTTTACCCTTTTTACTTCTGTATCTTGCATATTTTGTAGGGCTCTAAATCAAAAGTTGTTGAGAAAGCAGTTGGAAGTCAAGTATACTAAAGATTTTCTTGAAGTAGCTAACGTGGCTAAGGTTAAATATCAAAGTCAAAGTTCCTGCTACTTGGGCGTAAGACAAGTAGATCGCGTCGAAGTTGATGAAAATACCTGATCGAGCGTGTCCAACATGAGACCACGCTTTGGCCACATAAATCAAACATGATATGCATAATTAATGTTCACTGATAGTGGAGTGAGGTATATTTGCATGCTTGAATCTAGATTTTAAGACACGGAAAGTCCTTCTGAGAGTTGAATTAGGTACGGCCCAATTGCAATTCCGTTTCTGAAAGTGGAAGGAGAAATGAGCGAGAAAGGGGGAAGAGAAACAGTTTGAGTGAAAATGAGCGAGAGAGAGAGGGGAGAGAAAGAGAGAGAGGGGGAGAGAAAGAGAGAGGGGAGAGAAAGAGAGAGAGAGGGGGGAAAGAAAGAGAGAGAGGGGGAGAGAAAGAGAGAGAGAGAGGGGAAAGAAAGAGAGAGAGGGGGAGAGAAAGAGAGAGGGAGTGGAATGAGGAAGAGGGAAACTGAGAGGGGGAGGGAGATAGATCGTTGTTTTGTTTTGTTCTCTGTGTGTGATTGTGTTTTTATTTGACTTTTTCCGTTTTCTCCATGATAAAGAAAAAAAAATTATAAACATTTGGATCGTTACCCAGAAAAGTGTAAAAAGATGCTAATTTACTTTCTGTTCCTTTTCACCCCTTTTGATCCTTCACAATGACATTAGATATTTTAATAATGTGTTTTCCAACGATGCGAACATTCATATCATAATAATGATAACTTCGCTTGAAAATGTAGGCCTAACAAATTTCGTATGGGAAAGATCACATACCTTGCTATTCAAAATTGCATTTCAGAGATAAAGATATGAATTCCAAATTTTTGTCATTTCATTAAAAACAGGCGCTGTGTCTGAATTGGTTTTATTGCTCCAGGCGCTAAATCCACTTTTGACCATTTTAAAGGTATCCAGTTGACTAGTTTTGAATATTTCCATTTCAAGAGGTTTAAAGTTGAATCGGCAACCCTTTTCCGAATAAAATAATTGTGTGCTTTTCAGGAAACTATCAAAAATGCATTATACATTGTATTAATCCATAAG